GCTGGCTTCTGACGCATCGCAGTCGCGGAATTTCGCATGAACCTCCTCGTCACTAGACGAAGTTCCGTCGGCGTATTTGTGACCGGGTCGTCGGACATCCGCGATCGCGAATTGGCTTTTGGAGCCAAGCACTTCGGGCACCTTCGTGGTGCCGAACCCCACAACACTCATTTTTTTGTCACTTGCGCCGATTTGTTTTGGTCGCCACGGTGGCGAATGAGAACTCGATCCAACCCCCAATGGAAAAGGCAAACAAGGCGTCCCCACCACGAGAGAATTCCTTTGACACTAGGGCAACTTCACGGAGGCTCGGTCAACAATCGAGTTCCCCGTTCTCGTCCACGCGTTCGACCATTTTTCGGCAACAGGCGCACCCGACACTTCCCAAGCACTCAGGCAATCACTCTCACTGATTTCTCAAATAAATCATCAAATAAATAAAAACCATCCCTAGTGTTAGGACGTGATAAACACAAGCTTTACTACACACATCTCACACAAGCAACTGCAATCCCGGAAGACGTCTGTGCGTAAAAAGGTTATACCTGCGTGTTTGCGCGATATCAGGCCGCATTTCATCTCCGAAAATACACTTTATAGGCCGCAGTCACTTGAAAGTGCGGATGAAGAAAACGCAGATCACGGGAAAATGCGACAGACAAAAACCCCGACCAAATGAAAAGTAGCCAAGTGATTTCCCAGTGTTTCGTTGAGTAATTCAGAATAGAATTCATTAGTCATCAAGCTCAAGCAGTTTGTATGCACCATTTGAATTCGTATGACGATTCAACTACTTGCGGCGTGAATTTTTCAATTCTCCCATAAAAACCATGTTTCCTTTGCAATTACCACAAAAAAGGGGGCGGACAATAATCTTGTATACTTGATTCGATCCCACTAATACTACAGTATCGTACATTGAAACGGCTCTTCCCGACAGTGATCATTACACATGATCCTACATTTGGACTTATCCCGAATATAAATAAAGCTCAAGTTAATGTATTACGGTACATACGAGCTAGAACTGGATAACTGCTAGGTAACCAACCCGGTCATACATCTTGGCAGACGAGAACGAACCAAGACTGACCTAGAACACGCAAGAATTTACGGAGACAAGAAGTGAAGAGTGAATTATTAATATAAATAAAAAATAAAAAGTAGCAGACTTCAGCGGGTACCGAATTTAAGTTTACACAGCTGAAGAATACCCTGTCCTCCACGTCGACTACTCACATAACTTCGCCATGATCGCCTCAACAAGCAGTGACGTAAAACGTATCCAAAGGCGCCAGAAACTCACATCAAATCAGACATTTCTTCTCGGCCTACTAGGTATTCAGTTTTATATAAAAATAAGATCGTATTGTACAGTAATACAATTCACAGGTTTTCAGGTATCTAAAATGATCAAAGAGTTAAGAACTTTCCACACACATCTGGCAGCGAACACCTTTTACGAAATCGAAGCATGAATTCTTCGATCATCGAAATGAAGTTCTGCACTAGACTGTGTCTTCAGACTTGAAAACGATAAGCGCGAGAGAGAACTGATGACATGCAAAGGAAAGGTGCAATTTGCTATGCATTACTGCATGTCAGAAATCGTCAATGTCAAGCGATACTACGGGAACCAATAATTAAATCGGCATACAGAACCTCTCTGTTTAGAAGAGCTCCGTGCACAACACTACAACCACCAATAATCACGGAATTCATCTTCGATTTGCAATTCACAACATGGTTCGCGGTAGATATCAAGAACTCAGGAATCAAATCCGAAGCCACACTGCAAACCAGACTTCCGCCGTTGCGCACTCTCACGATCCAAGTCACTTACTACCGTGTGCGAAAGCAGGTTCGCGGCTCTGTGCACATAGAAATCCATTCCCTGAACGTGCTCACACCCGGTGCCACAGTTCAGCGACTGCCTCGTACATCGCTGCTAGTCGGAATGAAGGAGTCCTGGCGGGTTTCATTCCGTGCAGGCCCGGCGAGCGTCGGAGGGAGACGCGTTCATTCGACGCACTGAAGGACAGGGAAACAGGAGGAGGAAGGGGGGGGGGACTAAAACTGAGCGCGCGGACAGGCTTCTTCACGCAAAAGGCCCCTTCACACTGCGATCGCTTTCGCACGCATTTCCGCGCGCATCGCCGGGTAGAGGTTGCTCGGACTAGCATGTTTTCGTCCGCTATGGAGAGCGTGCTGAGTCTTGTTTGAACATACTGTACTGTACCGCGGACGAGCAGGCAAAAGACTAATAGAGTACCGCCGACGCCTCCAAAAATAATTTAAAATTGGTTACCGTCCTTTTTTTAATGCAAATATTCTAGTGTGGGAGAGGGACACTCGTATTTCTTGTTGGTTGGATGATACAGAGCGGGTCCATATTTCCACGCATAGTAATGGCTGTACTGTATACTTATGCTGTATTTTGTTCAATCATCTCTTGTCTTGAATCGCTATTCAAATGTTTAAATATTTTGAATAAGATAAGGTACAGTAGAAGAAATGGGAATTAAAACTGCACATGAACCTACAGCATATCTCAGGAAACAAGATTTGCCAACCAAGCACACTTGAATGTTTTATGATGAATTTTTTGAAGTTCAAGGACAGTACCATCTATAAAAATACACATTGACTCTCTCTACAGCAACAAAATTCAATGGGCAAAAAATTGTCATTGAGAATATTTTGTTGCAGAGAACCCCCGTAACATAGAGAGAAAGTCCTATGGGGTCAAAAAAATATTTGTTTTACAGAGAAATTTGAAGATATAAGAACATTATGGAGAGAGGCCAGCACTTTTAGAAGCGATTCTGTTGACCATGTTTAATTACTGAATGTGCATGCTGAATTTTGTGTGAAATTATTGACGCAGCACATAAAATTAATGCTGATGGATGCTTTCCAAAAGTTAATTCTTGCTATCAAGCGTATATTGACTAAGGCCATTTCGATTCTGCATGCTTTGTCATGATAGTCCTGTACAGTATATGTAAGCACGTACATATACGGTATGCATCTACAGTACATACTATCATAGTACAGTACTGTATATGATGCATCATAATATAAAATTCTTATCTCGCGCATCTATAAATGTGACAAAGTTGAAAAAGAGAAGTTTTCCTTCGGTGAAAAAATATTTTGAACACATAATCTTTGTAATAAAGCACCATTTTGTGCATTTGCATTCCAGAATAAGTGCGCTGATGTTGGATTCATGCGTGACGTAACTTTTGACAAATATTGTACTGCTGTATATACTCCTACGCAGTATAATAATATAAGACTGTATTCGCATTTAGCATTTGTCAGCTTGAAACGTCATTTGAGTAAGGCATGAGAGAATTTTTTTTAGCTTTCGGAACATCGTGAAATGCAGTGAAAACAGTTGACTGGATTTTAATCGGTTGTCTGAAGCATTACCGTTTTATCAAGATCACAAGATACAGTAATGTATACTTATGAGGTACAGTCCAGATAATTTTCTTCTTGCAAGTGCAAAATTTTAGTTAATTATCAATCTTCTCAATGCTACACAGCAAACGAAATACAATACGAATCAAAATTCACATTTTTCCATCTACGATAATACTTTCCTTGAGGAGGTGGATTAAAAAAGGTTGGTGGAATGAAGTTTTATTAACTTAGTAAAGGTGAACTCTCCACGCGCTTTTTCTTCAACAAAAAGCATCTGTACTTATCATTGTCCGCTGGTTTCCGTCGATCTTTCGATAATTCACCGTATGAACAGTTCTTCCGAGACATTTTTTCTTTTGATTCATTTTGGCCCACTGCCAATCACCGTAAAAAGGAGCATTACAAGAGTAAAAATATGAGATACCGCATCCAAATCGGACCGGGTTACAATTATGTATCCGCATGGTACTTCATACTAGTCTCAAACACGTTCAACTATACTGTACAGTACTTTTTACGGTTCGAAATTAATATCAACCCGAACATGTGAACATACGTTCAGATTCATTTCCTCATCAATTCCACGGGTTAACTTTGAGAACAAATAATGTGAGTCGGCGAGAAAAGTCAGTCTTACAATTCCATTCAACGATGAACGAAGTGAAATAAAATTAGAGCTTCAAGGTCGGTAGCGATTCAGAAGACAATGTGATGCAGGAGCACTGTTCTTCCTGCTTACATAATTTTAATATTTTTGGGCTGGTTTCTTTTTCTCAGAGAGTATGATTTAACGCTGGAACTCGATCGAGAATTTAATCCACGTTCGAATGAATTGAATTCCTGAGTCACAATTTTTTCGTTCAAACACGAAAATTAAATTTTAAAAAACGTTTCACTCACTATGTATTTCACAGGATCGTGGCTACGAATTCAGCTAGCGGTTTGTACACGTCATAGCATGTGTGAGAATCTCGCAGTACAGTATTTCATGACAAAATGGCGGAAAAAATAATTTCCAATAAATTGCAAATGCAGAGAAACGTGATACGAAGGCATCCTTTATACTTAATACCCGGTTTTTACATTTCAAATCAACGGCACTTCGTTTAGACTAAATCACAGTCGGAATATTCAACATCTATCAAACAGAATAACGTTTCAACGACAAATCGAAAAAAAATGGTAATAATCGTGATTGCATTGGATTCGTTCTCATGAGTCTCATCACACCCCAAACCAACGAATTCTTATTGCACTTGAAACGCGATCGTTTCCGTCTCTTGACGATCACGCATCCGAACCCTTCGGAAATCGATACAACAGGAAGTGGTACGTTCCGGTACCCGATTCAATTCAGAAGTCGAACAGGATCACAAAGGTTGAAGAGATTACCCTCTAAGTCACGATTTCGCTGCATCAGTGAGTTTCACCACATCTCCTCCAACATTCAGCAAACACTGCGCCTGAATCAATAATCTATGCATAAAACAACGGTTGATAGAAATGCCGATTTCATGGTCTTACCTGGCTTTTAACTCGTGACACGTAGTTTCTTGTGAGCCTGTACCTCATCCTTTAGTTCCGTAACGGTGGGTCACGGGAGTGTACTCGGGCTTGATACGAGTTGTGAAGCCGTTGCTTCCTGCTATGTTTCTACGAGTGTCCTCCACACTAAAAAAAAAAATGTATGGTCGCCGATTAAAATTTGTTGAAATCACAGTCAAACCTCTTCAAGTCGAACTTCAAGGGACCAGCGAGAGAAAAAAATCAAGTTAGGGAGATTTTGAGTTCGGAAAACAAGCTTTTTTCTTTAGGAAAACAAAATTACTACAGGAAATTGTTAGTGATATTCTGGTCCTTGAATTACTTTTTCAATCAGTAGGCAGGATACAAGAGTTAATTTGCTTGACTCGTCTTTCATTTCTTTTCAAAGTACATCAAGTTACATTTACTATTCATTTCAAATTGACTATTTATTTCTATGTCCAAGAAAAAATAATAGCCAGAATGCCTACAGAAAATTCGTACTATGGAGGTTTCAGGGAGAAATCTTTCGGTTGAAGGAGGTTTTTAATGCATTGCTTTACGAGAATTCAGAGAGGAACTTGAAAAAATAGATACATGGAGGTTCGGGATATCGAGGTTCAACTGTAACAGCTGCTCGTTCGGCACTTTCGCTTTTGGAATGCGAAAGTGAAACTTAAAAAACAATTCAGTACATAATTGTAAATACCTCTTTCACATTCATCGTTTCTCGCACAAAGAAGAAATTCAAATTCCCCAGGTACGATTCGGGTTTCTTTCCGTGAATCCAAGTCAATGGTGTGATCAAAACAGGGGTCGGCAACTCGAAACTCTGCAAAAGATCAGCGTTTTTAAGGAATGGAAATGAGACCTAGTAATTCATCTGATAAATTGAATGGAAAGGTGAAATGTAACTTTTGTTCAGCGAAACGGTTCATGAATCAAATAATACTGGAACCTCTATTATCGCCGAATGTTTATCCCGGAAAACTGAAAACGACTAAGATTCTACAATGATCACAAATTCCATTTTTGTACACGATTGCGATCGCGAAGAACATTTTCTTAACACGCATGATATTCAGAAGAAGCTCAGGAAAAAATTACGTTGGATCATAAATTGAAGACTTCAAAGATGGCTTCAGCGTCAAACTTATGGAGGAAAATTCAGAGAAGGTTTCATTGAAATCATGGTAAATTGATGAAGGGATAAAAATACCCGTATTTACTCGAGTACCACGCGAACTTTTTTTCTTAAATTTCATAAGAAAAAGGGTAGTGGGGCGCGTCATAGGCGAGTATGAAATTTTCAAGAAGTTTTAGGAAGTTATGTGTGCATTATACTTCATGATAATGGACAATTTGGGAACAAATGTCTTACAAAAACTTCTTACAAAAAAAATTTCAACTTGGCCAAATTTATGTTAAATTTGAATTAGGGTCTTCTTATTTTCGAAATTTTGTGTTTTTGGAGTCACGAAAAATTTGGGTGCGGGTCTTACTTGAGGGCGCGTGGTACTCGAGTAAATCCACAAGAATTAGATCGGATAAGTCGAAACGTTTCAAATACTTCTTTCATCAACAAAAACTCACATTCTCCGCAACAATCCTATTGACGCCTGAGTCAGGAACCGTAAGCGTAAGATTCGAAGAAGGCTTCCTTCCAATACTCGATGTCGAAGGCTTCAACTCGGTTTCACAAGCACCATCCGATGACTCCTTGAGACTCTTCACAGTCTCAGCATCCGACTCAACACTGGGCTCTGTGCTTGCTGAAAGCTTTTTCCAGTGGTTCATATTGTAAGAGAATGAAGGCGTTCCTAAGCTCACGCCCGTCAAAATAACTTGCAATTCGTCTTCTTCCACGGATGTCACATTCACTCGTACCATGCGTACAATCTTAGGCTCGGCTTTCCTGAACCGGTAACACGTTCCCTGTAAAAAAAATGTCGTCAAATAAAAACCCAAGAGATAACGACATTTATACGAAAATTATTTAAGGCAAGCATAAACAAAAGGTATAGCGTTCGTGGCAATTCTCCAAACCTTCATTACACGCTAAACTTAGAAAGGAAACCTGGTGCTTCGTCGAAGATTAAAACTCAACATTATAAATTTTGCCTAAGATAACCAGTATTAATACTGAACTTGAAATATATCGAGCGAAAATATCAGACGTATTGAGAGAAAAAACAAAATAATTCATTAAAAAATAAAAAGTACTCATGACGAAGTGATAAAATATAGTACTGTATAAGCATCACACTGAATGAATATTGCACAAGAAATCTTTCGATACTGTATCTCGATAACTCATCCCACAACAAAATTCTCACATCACGGTATCGCGAAACCTCGTGAAATCGCGTCAATTTAATAAGAGGATTCAACCCACTCACATGGATCAATCGGTCCATGATTCTGGATAAATCCTTGGAAGTGAACGGAGGTGTTACATTCCCTCGCCAAATTTTGGTGAATAGCTGATTCTGAGGAAGCTCATCATCAGATTCAACGAACGTATCTTGAGGGTTGCTAGTTTTCGACCTTCCATTGCAAATATAATCTTCTATATTCGACACCTCGAAATCCAGCGGTGGCTTCGGATCCATGAGCAAATTGATCACATCCAAATCCTCGCAGTCATCAATCTGAAAGATAAACACCCATTCAATAGAAAAGTCGAACCTCTTTGGGTCTAACTTTGAGGGACTACCAAGAAGATTCCATTTCGGGAACCAAGCAGTTGGGGAAAGAAAAAAGAATTACAGGAAAATTTTCATCATGATATTCTTGACTTTATTGCTTGTTTGGATGAGTTGACAGGATGCTGAACTCGGAGACAAGAATTTATTTGCTCGATAGGGGGAAATCCTTCGAATTAAGTAGGCTTCAATGCATATCGTTTCTTAGAGAATTCGTGCAGGGACTTTGAAAAAAAATTACGAGAGGAGGTTTGAATTATCAAGGTTCAACTGTATGAAATAGCAGCGTCGAAGCTCAGGAGACAAATAAATGACATACTTCTAAAACGCAGGTGTCCTTGTTTCCAGCGGACAGGTCAAGATGTGGCAGATGTTCATCGTCCGAGTCACTGACACGCTGAGCCCGTTCTAACGCCATCCGCGGAGCTTCGATCTGAGAAGTAACATTTATTTCTAAGTGACACCGCAGCACGTGAAAGCAGAAAGACATACGATCTCCGGAGTTTTCGCAAGCCCGAACGTCTTCTTGTTGGCGGCAACAAGCTCACACAGTTTCTTCTGGATGTCGCTCACAGAAGAATCCCCGTCCCCGTTCTCGGACTTCATGGAGGAAGACGAATGGCTGGCAAGAATCCTCGGAACGGTGGGAGGAGGTAATGCAGCAAAATAGCACGCAGTTCCAGTCGCGACTCCGATAAGAAGTTTGTCTCCGATTGAGATTTGGGTCTGAGAAGAGAATTCCAGAACTTTATGAAATCCTATCAAGATATTTTACAATTTTCTTGCACTTGAAATCCTCCAATTCCGTGATG